TAAAACTCAAACATTTTACTACACTGCCTAAAGATGCTTTTCAAGTTATTATAGAACTGGGCTTCATTTAGAAGAAAGATTCTTTCAGGCTGATAAACTTAATTTGTGTCACTGGGAATAAAAAAGGCAGGCTGACTGGGTAGTAGAGGAAAAGTTGAGCCACTTATATTGTAGAAGAATGCTGTACAGAATGTCACATTTAATTCTTAAAGTTTACTTAATAAGAAACAGGTCTAGTTGTTGCTTATAAAGAATCTGATACATGTGGAAAATATTAAAGCTATGTATGATGGTTGTGAATAGGTATTTGAATATTAGATAACATCTGATTAGTATTAAAAGAAGCAGAAGTTACATGGATTGCACATTTCAGAAATTACGAATACTTCCAGTTCTGTCACTTTAAAATTTGTGCATGAATATCTTCTGGTTTTTAGTTTTCTTTTCAATTTCTTCACAAAAAATACAGTTCAAGTAAATCTTGGAAATTATTTACTTTTGCATTTTCTTTTTTACAAAATTATTCTTATTTCATAAGGGTGACCCAAGGATCTTTTATTTTGCAGAAAAAACTCTTTAGGTGTCCTTGAATGCATCAGAAAATAAAAATGCTGTTATGGGATCTTAAGCAAGAATTAATTGTTCAGATATCTTTCTCCAAAATAAGAAATTGCTTGCCCATAGAACCCTTCTGTCACTAAAACTTGTAAATAGCATCTACCTTTTTATCTTAAGGATGTAAGGCAGGGGTGGGCAAAATGCCGTCTGGGGGCCAGATGCGGCCTGCCAGGCCATTCTATTTGACCCACGGGGCCCCTAAAACATTTAGAAAATTAATATTAATCTGCCTTGGCTGCCAGTCATGCAGCCTCAATGGCTTGCCAAAACTCAGTAAGTGACCCAAAATAATTGTCCGCCCCGATGTAAGGTCTTTACAGCAGGGCCTTTTATTGATTCAGCAGTACCTGGCATATAGTACCTAGATGCTTTAAACTAAGCGAGCTTAGTTTAAAGCAGTTAAGCACTACCATAATATGATGTTTAATAATTTGTTGTTGTTACCAATGTATTCCTTTCATTAATAAATATTCTAATTCTGGTAAAGGAGATGAAGTAAAATTGGGCCTTGTATCAGATTATGTGTAATTACTTTCTGCTCACGTTCTTATATGCCAAACAAAATAATAGTTTCTGAGGCTCAAAGTCTCCCAGAGCTCTTATAAAGCCAAGGTTTCTGTCTCTGTCTCCAAAACAAAACAGTGATTAAATACTGAAATTGGTCCATATCAATACATGTAAACAGAGGTTAAATTAAAATTGTTTTTTTCTTTTAAATTTTACACCATAAATTACAGAATCTCTCATCTTTAATCTTATTTATTCAGGTATTTATCTCTCGGACTTGACATATATTGACTCTGCGTACCCATCTACAGGGAGCATTCTAGAAAGTGAACAGAGAACGAACTTAATGAACAATATACTTAGAATAATCTCAGATTTACAGCAGTCCTGTGAATATGGTAAGCAAGTACAATTAATTCTATTGCACAATTAATGAAAACAGTTAAAAGTGAAAATGTGTATCCTCCGATACGCTTTTTTTAGTGAGACTTGATCCATTTGTATAATATTCCCATCTGAAAACAGAAACCCTACATAACAATGTTCTGGAATTGTACCAGCACCCAGAGATAGAATGAGAATCACTTATACTCTATTTCTGTTTTATGTAGTTTCAAAACATTTAATTCCTAATGAAAAGCTTGTGCTTTATTCCAGTTAATAAGTTTGGGTGACACAATTTTTTTTTTCTTTTTTTATCCCTTTATGGATGGTATCTGAAAATAGCAGATTTGCCTTTAGAGTACTTAAAGATCTGAGAACTTTAAAATATGTGGTATTTAGACTTACCTCAGTTCTTTAGATACCTTCATAATTTTCAACTGTATTATAAATAAATGAGTTTTAGAAAAGGTAATCTGTTTTACAGGCCAGTTACCCTTCCTCCAACCTTCAGTAAAATGATAAGACTGGATCTGTGATGGTCCTTATTTGACAAATTTAATACTGTCATTAGCACAGAATTACAACTTAACTGCAGGATCAATATAATGAAAATTTGGATGGTGAGGGAAACCATTCTATTCAGATACTGTCTTAGAGCCGTTCTATTCAGATACTGGCTTTCTTTGTGGATGTAAGATGGGTCATCCCAAACTATCTTTATTTGCTGGAGTATCAGAAAATCACAAAATAATGGTGAGGCTCATAGCTTGTACTTTATAGCTCAACATAAATAAAGCAAAAGATATTTGTTCACCTATAAGTCTTTTCAAGAAAGTACCTTTTATCTACAATTAATGATGTAACTAATATATGGACTGTTCTTTAGATATTCCTCTGTTGCCTCATGTTCAGAAATACCTGAACTCGGTTCAGTACATAGAAGAGCTACAGAAATTCGTAGAAGATGATAATTACAAGTAAGTAAGCAATTCTCGAAGTGAATCTTAATTTTATTCATATTTAAACATTCAGACTTGCTGGTTATGATGGTGAATAGGCTATAGAGTCTGCCTTCATTTAGGATTTTAGTTGCATTAAATAAATACATTTTAGCGTCAAGGCTGATATGCCTGAACTACAGAGTGTAGTGTAGTATTAAACTACCCAAGCTGGCTGCATAAAGGAAGCAATCTAGTGATTGCAGCATGGAACTCAACATGGGCTGGTTTACCCAGTAGAAAATCGGAGTAAATTGGTTTATGTGGAGTTTTATGCTGTCACAACTAGACTGTTTCTAGTACCTGAACCAACTTGGGCATCTCTATTCTAAACTACAATCTGCAGCATAGACAGACACTTCCATAAGTCTCGTCTCTTCCTCAAGTTTTCCTCTACCCAGTTTCCAGTCTTGATGCACGTGTCAGATATATCACTGGCTTTGAGTATCAATTTAAATGGACAAATACAGCTGGGGATGGGGAGCCAGCAGCAGCAGAACCCAGGAGAAGCTGGTGGCAGGACCCAGCGGCAGCAGCAGCAAGGCCTGCCCAGCTCTGTCCCACCCCCAACTGGAAGCATCTGCCTAGCAGAAGCTTCTAGTCTGGGACCCTGTGGCTGTTTCCCTGTCCTCCCTCCATCTGAGAGGAAAACTCAGATAAAAATGGGTGAGGGGAGGATTGCTGATACAGTAGGAGCCAGCCTGGCCAGCTGGCAGCACATGGTTCGCAGCTGTATGGTCAGGATCATGTGGTGCAACAGGAGCCAGCCCAGCCTGGCCAGGCCCCTGCAGTTCCCGGTTGACTCCTGCTGCACCATGCAGCCAGGAACCGCATGCTGCCGGCCCAGCCGGGCTGGCTCCTGCACCATTCAGTTCCTGGCTGCACGGTCAGGACCACACAGTGCAGCAGGAGCCAGCCGGGAACCACAGGGGCCTGACTCGTGCTGCGTCCTGCAGTCCCAGCCATGCAGCTAGGAACCATGCGCTGCTGCAGAGGCCAGCAGGTAGGCCAGGTGGGGGGAAACAGTGGTGGCAGGAGGGGAAGAGCAGCTATGGCAGGGGGGAAGTGGTAGCAAGTGAGAGCATGTTGCCCTGGGGCCAGGGCCAGCAGCAGCAGGAGCCAGCTGGGAACCATGGGGGCCTGGCTAGGCTGAGCTGAGGTGGCTCCTGCTTTGTTCTGTGGTCTCAACCATGTAGCTGGATACTGTGCATTGCAAAGCAGTGGTTGGGCAGTTGGGGGGCGGGGAGGAGGAGTGGTGGTGGTGGGTGGAAAGGAAGGGAATTGGCAGGGAAGGGCAGCAGAGGCAGGAAGGGGGGAAGTGGCAGAGAGTGGGCAGGAGCACAGTGGCAGCTGGGCAGGAGTGCAGGGACCATCCTCGTGGCCCAGGGCCAGTGAGGGGCCAGGGTGAGGCAGCAGGAGTACGGAGCCCAGGCTGGTGGCAGGGGCTCTGTGGAGCCAGGCCAAGTCTACCACTCTCCCTGCAGGCAGCCCAGCCACATGCAATCCTGGGCCTTACCGGGTCTATGCACCTCCAGGGGTCTCTGACTACTGCTGCCATGAGTGCCCTGAGGCCTCGTTGCCTGCTGCTGCTGGTGGCAGCAGGGACTGTGTGCAATGAAGGGGGAGACATGTTTGTAGGGGAGCCCCCACATGCACACCCCACTGTACACATGTACCCACACCCCCTCACACTGCCGTATGCATGCATCACACCCCTTCACACTCCAGCCACCTTCCCCCTTCCACACTCAGCCCTCCATGCACCCATACCCTCTCTCTCATACACACATATGTGCATACCCCCCACATCCCTCCACACACCCCAGTATACAAAAATGAGATTTCATTTCAAGCTATTATGCAATCACCTCTATGTACACTACAAAAACACACACAAATCAGGGCAAAAATATTTTTTGAAATCAAATTAATGTATGTTGTTTGATTTTTAGAATATAATTTTGGGTTCTTTCTAGTTCCAAGATGTCAAGCGCCCTAGCCAAAAGGAGTACTTCTGGTGGCAAGGGGAGGGACTTCTGACAGCAAAAGCCAGGAGTTAGGAGGAAGGACTTCCAGTTCCAAGATAGTGATCAGGGGGTGGGGTACCTGTCAAGGGGTGGGGCTACCCTTGTGGCCCTTGACACCTCGCCAAACTTGTTAAGCAACCCTTCAGCCAAAATAATTGCCGACCCCTGGTCTAGAGCTACGTTCATGCAGTGTCCCCCCCCCCCCCCCCGGTCTATCAGCAGCCTTATAGTAATGTTTGGCATTGCAACATTCATCACTAGAATGGAATACGTTTTTAAGTTCATAGTAGTCTAACAGAAGGGGTACAGAGGTGGGCATTGGAAATAGGCACAGAGGTTTGTGTAGAGTAGAAAGTGGGAAGTTGGAGCTGTCTAGAAAGATCAACAGGTTACATGGCAAAAGTATGCAAAACACACAAGAAATAGAAAAGATAAATTAGCTGTTCCTATTTACTCCTCATGATGGAAGAAAAAAGACATCCAAATAAAATTGGAATTCTGTATTTACTTGCATACAAGATGATGTGTGTCCCCCTCCTCCCCCCCCATTTGGTATGGGGGGAAAAGCCCCTTGTTTTATAATCGCGTGCAAGGAAATCTCATTAAATACACTGTCTGTCATTCAACTACTGCCAAAAGAAGCATGTGCTTATAATTAGAAACAACTGGGAAGTTGATTAAGTGCAGCCGATACTAAGTATGCCTATAAAATACATGGCCCATATTGCGCAAACACGCTGATGGGAACCTACCACAAGGTATTGTGTTATGTTGTTTAATTAGCCAGATTAAGTCAAATTCCATTTGCATCATCCAAGAACCATATTTGGCCCTGCTACCAGCGAGTATCTTCCACTCCAGCCTGGGGCTGCAGGTATTTCCATATCCTTTAGCAGGCATCCTATGTGCAGGCCCAAGCCTGGAGGCTTGGCATTCGGATGCCCTCAAGTATTGCTTGCCCTCAACCACATGGCCACAAGAGCAAGCTAGGGAGAAGTCTCCCATTCCCATAAAGTCAGCATGTAGCTGAGATCCTCCCACTGGAAGCTGGCCAATGGGAAGCTAATTATGAGGTTGTCGTAGGGAGCAGATAAACCTTCTATTGCACAATGCCATTTCAGTTGCAACACCTCGGTCAAGGTATTTCTCCTACCACCGTCGTGGTCATGGTATTTCCCCTGCCAGGTAACTGTAAAGTTCATTACAAACAACCAACACTGAGCATGACTGCCACAAGGATAGATTACTGCAGACCATCTGAATAAGACCTATGGTAGCACCCAGTAAGTGCAGTCCCCTTCACTACCAACTTTTTTTTTCCCCCCCCCCCCCCCCCCCCCCAAGTCACGGTAAGCCACTGTATTGCATATATTTTGACTTCCTCTTCACTCCCAACAGTTGAGCCATACCTTTCTTTCCCATTTTCAATTATTCCTGTTCACCATCCTTAAATGTCTGGCAAACATCACAGAACGGGGCCCCAAACAGTTTAGCCAGATTCCTTCTGTTGCCCTTTCTTTAAGTCTGGCGCACATGATTAGTATGGCCCCACCCTCCAGGAGGTAAAACCGGATCAGGTTGCCATTTGCCTCATCTGCATGCAAATTTTTGGGCCATCTCGGGACTTGAGGCAAGAACACAACTTCATGAGGAGACTAGACAGTCGCCTTGCTGGGGTCACCTGACCAACTGAGGGGTCAGGTGACCCCAGCAAGGCGACTGTCTAGTCTCCTTATGAAGTTGTTTCATAGATTGTAAGGCCGGAAGAGACCTTGGAAGATCATTGGGTCCAGACCCCTGCACCAAGCAGGAAAGGTGACTACCTTTCCAGTCACCTGGTTCCAGTCATGAGTTAGCACATGGGGGCTAGTTAGCACATGGGTCCTTTGTGTGGGTGGTATCTGGAGTGTACACACATGCTGAGTAGCAGTGCCATAGCAGTGAAGTTTGGCACTTGGAGCAAAGCCTGCAGCAGCTGCCTACCCCCACCCCATGCACAGATCTGAGGGGCACAGGCCCTCCCATGCTTACCTGGAAGTGCACATAGCAGCAGGAGCTGCCCTTTCCCCCCCCCACCCCCCAACAAGCCACTCTAGGCTCTGGCCTGTACCCTGCCCCAGCAGGACAGCACCTGTTGGCACCCCTTTGCTTTGGCACCTGGGGCAGTTACCTCACTTGCCCTGCCCATGCTATGGCACTGCTGAGCTGTGGGGTCACCATGACTTGAAATTCTGTTGATTATGGTGTGGCCCAACCCAGTAAATTATGCGGTATATCACAAGCCTTCAGTTTTAGACTAATATCATACATAGCTTGTCCTACATATAAGTAGATGCCAAAAGTGCCACTCAGAAGCGTGTTTATGGAGTACCTATACTAAAACTTGCAGCAGTTTCAAAAAAAAAAAAAAAAAAAGCACAACATGCATCAATTCTGGTTGAACTAAGTGTATGAATACTTTATGCGAATTGCTACAGCCATGTTCAATTTCTGGGTTAGTCAGGGAGAGCAGGGTCTGATGGTAAGGAGAGAGGCTGCCAGGGGAAAAAGTTAGTGTGAAGCAGATTGCAAAGGGTCTACCTGATCCCTCCAGGTTTATTTTTTGTGCTGTAGCAGTGGGAAGAGGACAAATTCAAGGCAAACCTCAAATAATTGGATTCTATACCTGAAAAGGTATAACCAATTTATACATTTTCCATATATAGAATCTAACCATTGGGGGTTGTCTGATTATCAGGGTCCTCTTCTATCTGAGTAAATATGGTAATACATTCATAACTGATAAATGCTAATTTTAATTTTCATACAAAACATGATTAACATATGTAATCCATTGCCATATATTATGATTGATCCAGACCTTAGCATTAGACCTGTGCAAAGCAGCTAATATTCACTTCGGAGTCGGCCGATTCGAGGGACAATGATTCAATGTGGCGATTCGAATCACTT